TGAGTTGCACCTGACAGGTAGGACAATGTAGTATGTTTCTTCCCCCAGATGCATTCACATGAGAGGATGAAATGAATCTCTAATGATAGAATTTCAAGAGACCCCTGAGGGAGGTATCTTGGAGGAACAGAACAAATGTACATGTTCTTAAAATGCTACATGATTACTCTTTAGTAATAGTAATCATAGCTTTTGGATCTGAAAGGTCTAGCTCATATACTCCAACCCTCTCATTTTGCCTCTAAAAATGAAGTCATCTGCCTTAGGTCATGTAGGCAGTAAATAATAGAGGCAGGATTCTTCTTATTCTTATTCCTAGACATGGAGAGTCTACATGACTTGTCCAAATTCACTTGGCTACTAAGTGGTGGAAAGGGATCACCTTAAACTTGGGTTTTCTGGTGCTAAGCCTAGTACTTTTGCTACCGCACGGTGCCTACCACAAGACTACTGGGGACCTTCTCTCCAGTGCTCTCTGTGGTCTGCAGTGCTTTCTCTTTGCTTGTTCTTTCTTCCCTTCCCCACATCCTACTCTTTTTCCATCCCTGCATATGTCTTTGGAACATTCATTGGTATGGTTCCCTGGCGTGCTCTCTTAGGACTAAGGTGTCCTAGTAGCCTAGAAAATCCTCCCTTAGCTGGCAAGGAGAGGATGTGTGTGTGGGGAGAATCTGGCATCCTTTTTTGGCCATTAATAAATCTTCAGTAGCACAGGGGCAAACTCAGAGATGTGGACATAAAAGGCATTGGAACCGTGGGTGGAAATAGCCAACAGGAGCTGAGTTTGGGGGATGATGGTGGTGGTAGGCAGAATGCAGTTTAAGGTTGTGGAGGAGAAGGTTGTGTAAAAACAAGTAACCTGGAATGAATCAGTGTAAAAGGCCAGGAAGTTAATGGGAGCTGGGAAATGAGGTCTGAGCCCGTAACCTGATCCAGCTATGTATCCAAAGGAAGGCGTAGCTCTGGGAGAGGGAGAGAGGGGAGTGATGGCGAGTCAGGTTGGAGAGTGGGGGAGAGAAGGGGTGGTAGGTCTAGAGAATTTGTATGAGGAGAGGATGTAGAAATACTTTTTCTTCCCTGAGGGTACTTTGGGAAGAACATCTGGCATCCTGCATTCATTTCTGGGCATCTCATTACTAGAAACACAAAGGCCATCTGGAAGGAGGGCTGAGGGGAGGGAACTGTCAGGACACCTGAGTTCTTTTCCTGGCTCTGCCATTAAGCAGTTGTGTGACCTTGGACAAGTCCCTTCTGATCAGTTTCCTTATCTGTAACATGAAGAGATCAGACTAGATATTCCTTCAAGCTCTGGCATTCTCTAATTTTCTAAGAATAAATGATAGCTAACATTTCTAGAGGATTTTAACCTTCATAAAGTGCTTTACAGATAACGGCTCTGTGAGGCAGGCATTATTGTTATCTTCATTTTATAGATAAGAAAAATGAAGCTAACAAAAGTTATATGACTTGCCCAGGGTCACACAGCTAAGTAAGTATCTCAGGTAAGATTTGAAGTCAGATCTGAATGAGTCTAACATTCTATCTGCTGTGCTGTCGAGATGAGAGGTTAGAGTGGCTGAACTCAGAAGGAGGAAGAGAAACTAATGTAATATTCTTAGCTTAAGATGAAGTGGAGAAGGCTGGACATGACTTTTTTTAAAAATAAATTTTTATTGACATCTTTTGTTTTTACATCATGTGAGTTTCTCATTGTATCTCTCCTCCTTCCCCAGAGAGCCATCCTTTATGATAAAGAATAAAAACGGAGGAGGGGGAGGGGTGGAGAAAACATTTCATCATTCAGTCAGTCAAGAAGCACTTATTAAGCAGTTACTATGTGCCAGGCGTCTCTTCCTCAAGTAGCTTGCATCAAAGGAGTCTGACATTCCATGCATTATTCCACATTTCTCATCCCCACCTCTGCAATAAAGGGTAGAATTGTACCTCCCAGAGGGCTATCCTGTATAACAAATAGTATTTAAAACAAATAATAAGAGGAAAAATTGACGTAACTTAAAAATTCATAGAAAAAGTCCAAAAATACATGTAATGTGCAACACTTGTAGACTTCTAAACCTCTCCAAAGGGGAGGGGCGGGAGTGTCTTCTCATGTCTTCTTTCAAATCATGCTTGATCTTTATAATTTTGTTACATTCACTTCTGATTTTTTTTTAATGCGGTTCTTCTTTCCATTTGCATTGTTGTAGTCATTGTGTGGGGCAGCTAGGTGGTACAGTGGATAGAGTGTGCTGGGCTCAGGATTAGGAAGACCTGAGTTCAAATCCAACTTTTGATGCTTACTGGCGGTGTGACCCTGGGCAAGTCACTTAACCCTTATTTGCCTCAATTCCTCATCTGTGAAATGGGGACACAATGGAGAATGAAATGGAAAACCACTCCAGTATCTTTGCCAAGAAAACTCCATGGACAAGTCCACTGGACATGACTGAACAACAGCAAAGTCACTGTGTATGTTACTTTTCTGTTTACTTACTTCATTCTGCATCAATTCATGGAGGTCTTTACATGCTTCTCTGTATTCGTCACATTCATCATTTCTTACAGCATTTTGAAGCCATTCTCTGTGAGCTCCCTCTTCTCACGTCTTCCCCATCTCATGTTACTCTTATCACTCAGATGCCTTCTGCCGCTCTCTCCTCCTTTACCCTTGTCTCACATGATGAAGTGGCCTTACTTCTTAGCAAGGATAACTCCTGTACCTGTTCAAGTGATTCCATTTTTTAATTTTTTAAATTTTTAATAGTATGATCTTTAATATTTAGGTCGTGTATCCATTCAGACTGTTAGGTAATATGGTGTAAGGTGGCGGTCTAAGCCCAATTTCTGCCAGAATGCTTTCCAGTTTTACTAGCAATTTTCATCAAATAGGGAGTTCTTTCCTAAGTAAGTTACAATTTCTGCATTATTAAATATTGAGTTATCGAGTTCCATTATTTCTTATTCTCCCTTCTCTAGTCTGTTCCATTGATCTCTCTATTTTTAAACCAATACCAAATGATTTTTATACTACTGCTTTATAGTGTAGTTTGAGGTCTGGAGGTACTATTTCCTCCCTTTGTTCCTACTTTTTCCCATAATTTCCCTTGATTTTGGTATAGGTGAGTTTCCAAAGAGATTGTGGATACTATGTCCCTAGGATCATTTCAGATGAGTTGGGCACACCCAAAGTGATGTCATTTGGGAATGACCCTTACCTGATCCCTCTAAAGAGGTATCTAGCTCTACCTTTCCATGTTCCCTGTTGTCTTGTGTATTTAATGTATTGTTGGAACATCCACCTATTTTTGGATACTCAGCCAAAGAGTGAGGCTGTTTGATCTTATGTTTGTGCTCATTATTCAAAGAGGATGTTGGGCCAATCTTTGGAAGGTACAGGTCTTCCCTTAAAGCTCAGAGGCAGACTGCTTCTCTGCTTCTCAACATAATATCTGAATTCTTAGAATCTAGATCTTGTTAATTGGCAAATAATTTAAAGACAGTCGATCAACAAGCATTATATGCTAGGCACCAACCTAGGCACTGGTGACACAAAGACAGAAACAGAGCTTACATACTATAGGGGGAAACAGGCATATGCACACAGGTACATGCACATGCTATCTACATAGGTATCTATCTACACATACACGTCCATGTATATTATGTGTATATGTACATATGTTTACATGTAAGGGGCAGTTATGTGGGGCAGTGGATAGAGTGCCAGGCCTGGAGTTAGAAAGATACATCTTCCTGAGTTCTAATCTGACTTCAGATACTTACTAGCTGTGTGACCCTGGGAAAGTCACTTAACCCTGTTTGCCTCAGGTTTCCCCATCTGTAAAATGGTCTGGAGAAGGAAATGGCAAACCACTTCAGTATTTTTGCCAAGAAAACCCCAAATGGGGTCATAAAGAGTTGGACACAACTGAAAGATGATTGAACACCACCACCACACAGTATGTTTATGTGTTATGTGTCTATACACATAAATATATCCATGTATTTGCATACATACACATGCATGCATACATACATACACATACATGCATACACATACATACATACATATATGTATATATATGTATGTATAATTCAAGGCAATTTTGGGGAACAAAAGAGTGTTAGAGAAGAAAGAGTACTGGATTTGGGGCCAGGAGATTTGGGTTTACATCTGGCCTCTGAAACATACTGTATAACTTTGGAATAGTCACGTAACCTCTCTTGACCCTCAGTATCCTAATCCATAAAATGGGTATAATATAGTGGTATTGCTTCATGAATTATTTTGAAGAAAGTAATGTATATGTTTGAAATGCTATAAAAGTGTCAGATATAATTAATATGGCTTGCTAGCTCTTATGCAGTATAACATACATTTGAAGGGGTATTAACTTTTTGGGTACCGACACACTGAAGGATAATCATGTCATATAGATGGGGGACAATGTCTGCCTGAGATACACTCAAGAGGATGGTCAGAAGGTGTTTCTTAACTCCTACAGGGTGTCTGCCTGAGAACTAAGAGGGGAGATAAAGCTAGTAGAAGAACCTAAGAATGAGTAGCTAGCTGTGGGTTGAGGTGAGGGCCAGTAGCTTGAAGGCAAGTGGTGGGTCAGTTTGGTAGGCTGCTGACAGAGATGAGGCTGGTCAGAAGTCAGGCGGAGGGGGTAGCTAGGTGGTGCAGTGGATAGAGTGCCAGCCCTGAAGCCAGGAGGACCTGAGCTCAAATCTGGCCTCGGACCAAACACTTGACACTTACTAGCTGTGTGACCCTGGGCAAGTCACTTAACCCCAATTGCCTAAAAAAGAAAAAAAAATGTAAAAAAAAAGTCAGGTGGAGCTTGAGGTCCCCCTTTTAAAGGAGAAGAGATATGAAAGGACAGGCATTTGGAGGGAACCTCCACCTTCTGAGAATAAGGGACACCTTGGGGCCAAGCTTTCAGTGGGGGGAGTCTTTTCTAACATGGTCACAAATTGGGCTTTTTCTGTTGTTGTAGGGACAAAAAGGAGATCCTGGGCTATCCCCTGGAAAGGCCTATGATGGTGAAAAGGTAGGTTTCTCAGGAGCTCTGAGCTCAGGGGGGAGTAGTGGCATGAGCTGATGTCAACAGGGCTTTAGGCTTTTTACCAGTTTACTCAGAAATACAAATCCCATTAATCCTTAGGAGTTAGGAGGAGCCTCAGCACCCTAGGGGTACCAAGTAAGGCACCTCCAAGCAGTCAAAAACTAGGAAACACTGCTTTGGTCTTCAGCTTTCTGAGATGTTAACATTAACTAAGGAAATCCTTAGTAATATGTATTCACCTCAGTTTGGGTAAGTGATGATTTATGTCAAGGGAAAATATTGATTATGTAGACTTTCTACCTACATTCTTCCTGGGGCAGGCTGTTACAGAGAAGCAAAAACATATGCAGGTGGCTGGGTTGCGTAATAATTTGTAAGGCTGTCAGAGACCACAGTTACACAGTGGAAGAGCTTTCCTAAGCCATTATTTGAGCAGCAGGACTGCATCTTTGTTAAATATCCAGTGCTTTGCCAGTCATTCTCTTTCTAGGAGAAAGCCACATAATATAGTGGAAAGAGCATTGGATTTGGTGTTAGGACACCTGGGTTCGAATCTTGGCTTCACCACTTATTTATGAGCTATGTTTTTTGTGGGCATGATGCCTCTTCACCTTTTTCACCTTGGGTTTACATCTTGAAAATTAAGGAGTTAGACTAGATGATGAGATGACATTGCTGAGGTCCCTTCCAGTGATTTCCTATGATCCCTCTGATAAGTATTCTGGGCATGACCCCCAGCTCCCCTCTCACTCTTGTGATCCCTTATAAAGACCTTTTTGTGTGGCTTCCTTTCTCCTTTGCACCCTGCTTCCCTGACACCTAAGTCAGGGAAGTGTAAGGGTGCCTCAGTCCCTTTTCTGAGCACATCTTTCCTCTAGGTGCCCTGGGGAATGCTGTCCTCCCAGCGGCAGTGGGGAGCCCTCACCAAGCTTCTGGCTCTCCACTTTCATCAGTTATTAGAGACGTGTGTTGGTTGCCTGTATGAGGGAAAAGGCAGCCATGAGTCCGATAACTTAAATCACATAATAAAAGGCTCTGTGATTCTGGAAAGCCGGGAAGCCTGGGATTCTGTACATTGAAGTTATAAAATAGAAATGACTTGTGCCAGAGGATTTAATCCGTCCCTTCAGCGTCCCCAATAAACCAAGGGAGTTGGAGGGTGGTAATCACCCAGAAGCACCGGAAACCTGTAAATCCACTCTCCTCCCCTGCCCCCGCCATATAACCCTCCTCCTAAATAGCCAGGAACAGGATCACTCAGCATCTCATATGCAAGGGAAAGAACTTTATAGTTAGTTAGTCTGGCTTTCTTCTGGATGCTACCCAGAAACCCTTCCAACAGGAGCAGACATTGAACTAGTGGAGTCTTTGTTTAAAGTCCCAACTCCAGGGACCCTGTGGGAATTGGAAGCAGCTGGCCACTTCTTTTCCATGTTGGAGGTCATTATAAGATGTAGAATTTAGCCTCTGTTAAAGAGAACATAGTTTGGAATCTAGAAACCACAGTCTAGGGAAAGAACCATTGTTGGAGTCCTACATGGAATACCTCTTAAAGCTGTGTGCTTTGAGGAATGTAGGAAGCAACTGAATTCTCAGAGGAGTTACCATAAGATGAGAAGATGTCATGTATCTGGTATATAAGATGAGACCTTCCTAAAAGGATAAAGGAGCCTCCAAAACAAAGGCAAATGGCTGCATGGGAGGTGTGACGACCCTCAAGGTGATTCCTTACCCTTATGTGTTGCAAAGCTGGTCAGAATAGCTGTTACAGCATCACCCCCTTTTGTGTTTTCAGGGAGACATAGGCTTACCTGGACTGACTGGGGTTCCAGGACCAATTGGCCGAAAGGTAGGTTGTTTTGTTTTTTCTTTCAGTTATTAGAAAGACGCATTACTTGGGTTGGGAAGCCCTTTGCTAGTATCTAATACTTTCTCCACAACCCCATGGTTTTAGCTGACGGAACACTGAGGCAAGAGGCAGCATGGAGTAGGGCTTAGAGAGTTTGACTGGTATTCAAGAGCCCAGGGTTCTTGCTCTTATTCTGTGAACATCTAACCAATCCCTTCCCCATCCTTAGGCCTCAGTTTCCTCTTCTAGACAGTAATAGCTTCTGCCTGATTCCCTCCTGTCCCCTTGCTTAGAATGCCCTTTCCTCTTTTCTTTTGTATTGTTATAGATCTCTTATCTATTGGCCCCACCTTCCTCACTAAATCATAAGTGCCTTGAGCTTAGGGCCTCCAGCAGCATGCCTCCTACATTGTAGGTGCTCAATACATATTTGTTGATGAATCTAATGATGCCTGGACACTACTTAAGACTAGGCCACAGACTTTTTTAATGATATAATAATGGCTACATCCAATGATGACATCAGACAAAGAACCATTTCTTATGGATGGGGACCTCAATTCCAAGCTGTGGTTACAGCTGCCTTTGTCTTCAAGATCATCTCATTCCCATCATGGTCAGTGATGATATTGGCCATTGCCATCCCAGCCAGGTCCTTCTTTGGTCTTTGGTTGTGCAGGATTTCAGCTCTGGGCTTCCTTTGGTGGTAGTTGCATGTGTGGTGAGGAGGAAGAGAATCATCTCTCCCACTCTCCTTGTTCTCTGTGACTTTACTCAGTATGGTACTGAAAATGGGTACTCAGTATTGGGAGGATAGAGTAGTCAGACAGGCCAGTTCCAGGCCCCTTAATTCAAACCTGGAGGGGACAAACCCAGACAAGAAGCTGAGGGTGTCTGCAGGCTGTGAGGAAACGCTGATTTTTTTGGCCTAGGGAAATAATGTGGGCCTCTTTCCTCCTGGGCTGCAGCCCTGTTCTAATGGATGAAGTGTGAGTTACATAGTTTTCCTACACTAGCAGCTTATAAAGCAGAGTGTGGTGGTTTTGATGTGCCCAGCCCTCAATTTGGGCTGGAAATGATGGTGAGAACTCTCTCAGTTTGCCCCAAAGGTCCATGTTAACCTGGGGAGGAGTTCCCCTTGGCCTGGTTGGAGGGCAGGTAAAAGGTTTAGGTAAAAGGAAGCTTATGACGCAAAATCAAGAAGATAAACCTGTTCACCTAGGTGCAGCGTGACTTGTCTTTCTAAATTCAGAAAAGGTCTCTGTGGTTGGAAAAATACTTGGCAAAACAACATACGTTTTGAATTCCCTGCTGGCCTCAATCCAGTCCAAATATCATGAACTCGGTCTACCAGGGAGAGGGTATCTCCCATTCCAAATGGGCACAGAGAGAGAGCCTAGGAGAGCTTGAATCTAGGATGAGGGTTGAACCAGTTTGGGCAGGGAGAATGGAAAAGAGTCAGCTGGGCATAACAGGAAATTCTCACATAGGTTTTTTTCTAGTTGAGCCTTCCAGCTTTAAGACAGTTTCTTTTCTGGGTTTTTTTCATCCACCAGGAACATTTTTTCGTTGTGAAAATATTTGAGTTTCCTCTTTTCCTTCAACCATAGTTACCTGTAGTGGTGTCTTCTCTTTCCCTGGTGTGGTGGACATCCTGAAGGGTGACGTCTTCTTGATGGGTCTCTGAGTTGGCCCTAATCCTTTGTTCTTCATCAGTTTGATTGTGGCCTCTTCAAAGAGAGACAGGCATCACGTGGACCTCAGATGGGTTTGACTTTTTTGAGGCATTAATCTTTGGGAACTGACATCTCCCCAAATCTGAATCCATGACCTGGTTAGTATTCTTAGAGGGTCCTTTTAGATAAAGATATAACTAGCTCTCTCTTTGTAAGTCACCGGAGAGGTTGGTTTTCAAGGGAACCTGCCAAGACCTGAGTGCTTACTTAATGATGTGCAGGAGAAACCTGAATGTGCCAGAAGGCCCCTTGAGAACAAGCCTTCTAAAGTCACTTAGAATAGAGAGTCTAAGGAGAATCAACCATAGTTGATCAAGTCAGTTATTCTGATTCATTGGGGTCCTAGAGATGGAAATCCAAATGATATTGTAGCTCCTCCTTGTGACGGTAATAGACTCCTCATCATTCCAGATCTCAATGCCCAGCCCTGCTGCCCCAGGTCAGATGCTTATATGGCAAAGACCTGCTTGACACAGCCAACAAGGGTGTCAACTTTGGTTTCCCATCTGCTGATTCTTTGTGAGATCTTTGTGAGATCAGAGGCAGCTAGGTAATACAGTCTCACACTGACTCAGGCAGTGCTTTCCTGCGTCAGACATCTGACCTTTCCCATGGTTGGCCTTCATGTCTTTTCAGCACTTTGTGCCTTTGTTCAGAGCTCGTATTTCCTCGGCAGCCTCTGGGGCGTGTCTCTTATTTCTCTGCAGGAAGCTCTACCTCTTAGCTGGTTGGCTCACTCCTTTGTCCTGGAAGCCCCTAGTGGGTGAACTGGGGTCCTCTTCATTAGTAACTGGACAGAGGAACTTGGATACTTGGACAACCTCCGACCAAAATAACTGTCAAGATCCCATCTGTAGCTGATGCTATCTGCATCCTTTCCTTACATAAGCTGTGTCAGTGTATTCACAAAATACTAGCAGGAATTGTAAGAACTGAGTTCTAGACTTAGGTCTATTACTAACTTTCTAGGTGATCTCAGATGAGTCCAGTCCCATCCCTTCCAATTTATTTATTTTTATTTTTTAATTCCTTTCTTAATCAGGCTGGAAGTACAGGGGCTACTCATGGGTCTGTTCCTACTCTGATCATCATGGAAGCCTTGACTTGCTTTGTTTCTAACATGGGCAGAATCTCCCCTCCTTAGGCAACCTGGTGGTCTCCCTCCATCCCTGCACCTGGGACTCACCATATTTATCTCAAAGTTAGTGAAGAAACTCAATCAGCTTAGCCCACTGCAGCTCAGAACTCCTGAGCTCACGAGAGGTGCCAGCCTTAGCCTCCCTGGCAGTAGGCATATACCACCTTACCTGACCTCAGCTAAATTCAGTTTAACAAGCATGTATTAAGCAGTGACTTTGGGCCAGGCGCTGCGCTAAGAACCGGGAATACAAAGACAAAAATGAAAACAATCCTTGCCCTCAAGGAGCTGACATTCTCCTAGGAGCAAACAATATATGCACAGATGAGTAAATGCAAAAAATATGCCAAATAGTTTCAGAATGGGTGGGTGAGGGGATCAAAAAATTCAGGTTCACCAGATGTCTGATCTGGAAGGGACCTTAGAACATAGTATTTTTTTTTAAGGTTTCGTTGATGACCTTTGTTCTTTAATTCCTTGATCATTTCTGGATATTACCTACTCCTCCATCATAGAGTCCTCTTTTGTTAAACAAACATTTAAACAAAACCAACCCACATATGCTCTACATTTGTCAGTAGTCAGTAGTCTTTCTACTATGTGGAGCAAAGTGTTTTTCCTTATCTTTTTTTTTCTGGAACCATTATTGGTCATCAGAGACAGGTAAGGTGATACAGTGGATAGTGGTGGACCTGGAATTGGGAAGAACTGAGTTCAAATGTGACCTTAGACCCATAAGAGCTATGTGATCCTGGTCAAGTCACTTAAGCTTTTGCCTCAGTTTCCTCATCAGTAAAATGGGTATAATAATAGTCGCTCACTTCCAAGGTTGTGAGTATCAAATGAGATAATTTTTGGAAAGCACTTTGCAGACCTTAAAGCTCTATATAAATGCTAGTGATGATGATGATGATGTTTAATCTTAGTTCAACTGTCCATATTGTTTTCACCTACATCACTGTATATAATAATAGCACCTACCTTCTAGGGTTATTCTGAGGATCAAGTGAGTCAATAATTGTAAAGTTATAGCGAAGTACCTGCCACACAGTAAACTCTATATGAATGTTGTTGGTATTGTTATTATTATGGTTTTGTTTTCTTTACTCAGCAACATTCACATAAGGTTTCTGGTGTTTCTCTCCGTTTCTCGTCATCTTAATTTCCTAAGGTGTAATGGTATCCCATTACATTTATGTATCACACTTTGTTGAGCCATTCTTTGGGAGTCAGTGGGTTTTCTAGTTTTCTACTAATTACCACCAAAAGTGCTACTAAGGGTATCTTGGCATATCTGGAGCCTTTCTGTTTTTAACCTTCTTGGGGCATATGCCCAGCAGTGAGGATCATGGATCAAAAGAAGATAAAGAGTTTAGTAACCCTCTCCCACACAATTCCAGATTAGAACATAGGAATGTTGCCTTTTTGGGACGAAGGATATGAAAAGTTTAGTAACCCTTTCCCCAGATGATTCCAGATTAGAACACAGAATGCTGTGCTTGGGTCAAAGGATATGAACAGCTTAGTAACCCTTTCCCCACATAATTCCAGATTAGAACATAGAATGTTACACTTGGAAGAGACTAAAGAGATCATTTAGTCCAGACCCCTCATTTTACAGATGAGGAAACTCTGAGCAAGAGAGACAAAGGTGACCCAGCCCATCACAGAACCTCTTAGTGTCTGTTTCCTAGTTTGTAAGGCAGGAATAATGATACCTTTTCCACCCATTTCATGATGGATCGTGATACAATGCTACATATTACATGGTAAGTGTAAAGAGATATATGTTACATTCAATAAATATTTATTAAGCATCTTCTGTGTCCAAGGCACTGCACTTTATTAGGTGGTATTATCAATCAACCAAGTAAGCATTTATTAAGCACCTAGTATGTGCCTGGTTGTATGTTAGGAGTTAGGCATACAAGGACAAAAATGAAGCAATCCCTGCCCTTAGGGCACAGATCATTTGTTCTTTGACTTGTATCTCCAGCTCCTAGTCTAGTATGTGGCACATAGTAGGTGCTTAATAAATGCTTCTCAAGTGACTGATTTTATTGGAGGAAACACCATGTACATGTATTACTATGTCCAAAGTATATAGAAGGTAATAGGGAAGGCTA